CACACACTGGTGATGGCAAGCTACATTGTAGCCACAGCCACCCTGGGGCGCACTGACAGAGGCGAGGCTGCCGGACACTGGCGCCACTGGGCCCTCTGACCACCACCAGTAGGCAACGGGTCAAGTGTCTTGACCAAGGACACAACGATCGAGACTGTCGGAGCCGGGGCTCGAACCGGCAACCTTCCGATTACAAGGCGAACCCCCAACTCTTGAGCCACGATCGCCCCATTGTGAGGTGGGCGGAATCTGAGAATTGAATGCAACTACCAATGAGAGTGAAGAATACTGTTGATTGACAAATGAACAGGTAATTAGAAAGTTAGAGGGTTAAGTAGGAAACCAAGCAACTAGCTGTGAGCTTTAAAGTGATGCACAATGAGCGAATGTATGTATGTACAAAAAAAATATGAACTTACAATTTAATGGTCTGTTGAAAATGTTAAATCCTTACAGAGTACCAAAATGGGATGTTTTTTGGCAGCTGTATAAGTATCCCTGATTTTTCTATTAAATGAAAATAAAGAAGGGAAAGCAATGCTTTACATTTTCCCATCAAATGTCAGCATGTGTGACTACTGTATATCTTAAATGAACAGTTATTATGTAAATGAAACTGTGTCTTGACCTAAAAAAATTAAAATCTGACAGGCAACTGTATATCAAAACCTAAAAATGGTTAATGGGTCCAATTCCTGAGGGTACCTATGATAAGAAAGTTTAATGAACATTTTCAAGGACAGATCTCTTTCTAATTTAAGTCGAGCGCTGTACAAAACGCGTATGCGAGATGCACCACATGCTAGTCTTGTGTTAATAAATGCACTGGTTTTCATCCAATTGATTTTTACTGGCCAGCTACATAATTTGATTTATAACGAGGTACAACTAATGAGATGAGCAGGGAGGATTACTGGGTCCCAGAGGTGGAAACTGTGGACAAGGCACAGCCTTTAATCAACAATCAATACCACCTCTCCCTGCCTGAGATATGTGTAATATCACATTATGTTACACTGTCCTTTCAAGCTTTTCTAAGCTCTAAGATATGCTTTAAAATAAAATAGCTCAGTAATTACCCCCCACCGAAAAACTCAAACCTAGTTTGTTCATCAGACATCAAAATCTCTTCGACAAAAGAAATCATAAAGCTGAGAGCACTTTAGAGTCGCTCTTTCATGCTGACAGTTTTCTCTGATCAGCTTCAGCAGAGCGCAGGTCTGCCAGCACTTTGTTTGGAGACTTGGCCGGACAGATTGGCACATCCAGATTGATTGTGTTGTAGCACTGAGCTACAGTAATGTGCTTGTATTCTGTCCGGCTTGCCCTCCTCCACCACTCTACTGGCAGTGATTGGAGCCACAAGTTTCTTTGAGGCATCCCTGAATCTGTTCTCTCTACCACAAATCCATAAAGGTGGCATTAAGAGCTGCTCTGTAAAAGCTGGTATACATTACGAAACAGCAAAATATATGCAAAAGAAACTAAATTTGTTTCTTTAATAGCAACAAAATTACACTTTAAACACAAAGAGGTTTTTTGCAAATTAGCCCAGTTTTCCATGCAAACTACATGAAACTGTGGCAATCTGGTAATGACCAAAGGACCATTATTGTGACCAGTTCCACCTAGAGACTGCCAGCAACCACTCACCAACCAGTCGAGGAATATACGTTTAAGAGTAACTTTGCTAATAATGATGAAGCTAATAGAAGCAGTCAACAGAAAAAAAAATAATAGCGCTGTTTTAACAGCACCCTCTTTTATCTGCAAGCAAATGCACCCTCCTCAGAGTGCACCCAAATGCTTGTTGATGGACCTGCAGAAGCTGGTGATAGCCTAGCATACTCAGGCGGATGGCGGACATGTACATGTCCATGCAAGTTAGTCGTGTTTAGAGTACTTTTCTCACAGTGTACATCTGCACAAGCGGCACTCCACTTTGGTTAAATCCTTAGGTTTACTTCTTTCATCTAGTTTAAACCAAAGAAATCCCAAATTGGCGAATTCATAATTTTTTTTAGTGCGTCAGCGTTTACCCACCGTCATCACAACTAATGCAATTAACAATTAACATCTGGAGCGCAGACTGAGTCAGAATCTCTGAAATGTCTCTGTCAACGCATTTTGGGCATTTTGGGCATTTTGTCCAAAGTTTGTTTCTTCTGCGCTCCAGATGGGTTGAGCGCGTTAAAAATTTTTTATTGCGTTAATCGTGATGGCCGCGTTAATGCTGCATTAATGCCTTAATGCTGACAGCCCTAAATTTTTGGGAAATTAGTTCGTCCATGTTTGGACTTCTTCTGTGTTGTAAACGCGCAAATCAGTCCCTCCATGATTACATTGCTCTGCCCATCAAGTCTGTGCATGCGCGAATATATCGCCCATTGTCGATTACTGGACTGACGATTGCCGGTTGGAAAAATTTTTACATATCGCCCAACCCTAATTCACGCCTACAGCCAATTTCAAATTACAGAGGTACCTGGAGAAAATCCACACATGCAGAGGGAGAGCATGCAAACCTTACACAAAAAGGTTCCAGTTTTCTGTTCAGGTGGATTCAAACCCAGGACCTCCTTGTTGATGGTGCTAACCAATTCATTCATCCATCCATTCATCCATTCATCCTCTTCTGCTTATTCTTGTCAGGGTCACAGGGGGATGGAGCCTATCCCAGCTGTCTTAGGGCGAGAGGCAGGGTACACCCTGGACAGGTCACCACTAAGTTGCAGGGCTAACACATAGCGAGACAACCATTCGCACTCACATTCACACCTATGGGCAATTTAGAGTTACCAATTAACCCAATCTCACTAACTACATGTCTTTGGACTGTGGGAGGAAGCCAGAGTTTTCGGAGAGAACCCAAGCAAACATGGGGAGAACATGCAAACTCCACAGAGAAAGACCCTGGCCTGATGGTGTAATTGAACTCAGGAACTTCTTGCTAGGTAACAATGCTTTATTGGTAAATAAATTAAAATTTTGCCACAAGAGATGTTATAGTATTAATAACTGCCTCACAGCATGCAAACAACCAAATCAGGTAAGAAAACATTGGGGAATCACAGATTTGTGCATAAAATATTCATAAACTGTGCATATGCAACTGGCAAGAATCAGTTCAGGATATTATCTGATATTGTTCTTTCTCACATGCAGCACACAGTAGGAGACAGTCCACTTTATCACTACTGGAAAGTAGTAGGCAAGGGAGCTCTTAGGATAGAGCATGTAAGCTATAAAATAGATGATTTCTACTCATTCATTTTAAATTCACCAGACTATAACTTACATTTGTAGTAAAGAGCTGGCAGATTAAAACGCATTAATGTAAATTCTACAGCCTCACATGCAGCTGTGTCGAATAAGGTCTGGAAAAGTTCAGAGCTGCGATGCGTGTATTGTAAAAGAGCTATTACAGGCAAAGAAAAAGCCCAAAATAGCAATACCAGTAGTGAGACGAGGACCGAAGAGGTTTGTGTGTTTATCTCTAGGTTCAGTGGGAAGATTTTACAGTACATCTCATACACAATCTGAACTGGCTTTACTGGAACACTGGGTAGTAAATTCCTAAACAGTCAGCATGTTCATTACAAAGCCAATAGCACCAAGTCAACAAACAACCATGGATTTATGGTTCAGCTGCGGACCTGTTTAATAAACAAATATACATTATACTGCATATACGCTGCATGTGTGGGTCTGTGTGTGTGTGTGCACAGCATCTCTTACAGGAAGAAATAAAAAAAAAAAAAAACATACTGCTGCTATTAAGTTAATTCTATTACCTTTGTTCCATGATTTGATTATGCACAAAGAAAGCACTGGTCTGGTTTGTGCCTGTGTTCAGTCTTAGACGTTTTCCAATAGATGTTTACAATCAACTATTTAATGCACAGATTTGTATTTGCAAATAATTTTGTGTTGTGTTTTGTGAGACAGACACATATATACGTCACATTTCTTTACAGAGATGGGAGATTACCTGATTAATTAGTTACCTGGCAGGAAAAATATTAAATATGAATTCATTTTCTGCAAGGAATGTGACACATGACCTCCTTTTAGTATCTTAGCTGCAGTCATTTGCAGTTTCCATTTGCCTTAGGTGAGTGTACTTGTTAACATTATAAGTAAACAAAGGAATTAATGCAATATAATTTTATTAACATAGTGCCAACCTAAAGAGATATGCAGGAGTTTCCAAAAGATCACACAATGACATATGAGCAAACACTTGGTTATGGTGGGGAGCAAGAAATCCTTTTTAATAGGAAGAGGTAAAATGTGTTTGACACTGCTGAATTAACTTATATATGACATGAATTGACTAGATTCCTGTTTATTCCTGTCTAAAGAGCAACTTCACAATTTAGACTAAGAATTTCACATCTCTTTTTTTCCACAATTTGCTCTGCAAGAAAATGTTTTTCTTCTTTTCATATAATAAATGAAAGATGGGGGGTGGGGGAAGAGTGGTGACGGTTGCTGTGTTCCTGCAGCCCAGCGGGACTGAATGGGGAGCGGCTTGATGAAGACATGGCAGTGATACTAATGACAGAGAGGGGTTCATTGAGTAAAAACACCTCTTTAGTTTCGTCCTTTGTGTTCTGAATTCGTTGCTTTAAAGGCAAAGAGGATCACGCCTGTAATAATAATAATAATAATAATAACAATAACAATAATATTATATATTGACAGATAGTCGTGATATTGCAGTGTTATCTGTTATTCAACTGTCTGGCTACTGGCTTCTCCCTGAAATCAGGCTAGTATTTCGGGGTTATCTGTTGTCAACAACCGCCTGTCGCTTCCTCCATGATGATGACAGCGGAGGACCACCGCTCGTGCGCGCGTGCTACCCGACATGCGACACCGTTGTCATGGTCGCGTCTGGTCGGAGTATGTGTAGGGAGTGTCTCTGAAATACACGCTGCCCTACCTGTCAGTGTCACAACGGCATCACGTGTTAGATTCAATGGTGAATGACTCACGCGTTACCGATGTATATCCTGGGAAAGACCTCGTTGAAGTGCTGTGTCGGTAGGCTGTAAAAGCCGTTGCCGTCGGACAGGAGCTCGTTGAGTTGCTGGACGGTCACCTCGCAGGCTGGAACCGGGACTTCAGCCGGTGGTGGCGGCTGCGGCTGTTGATGCTGTTTCGTAGGACTCAGGTGTTTCTTCATGGCTCTTCTTCTGCTCGCAGAGTAATGTTAGAATTTAGCCAGAGCCCGACTCGTCAGACTGGTTTCGTTGTTCAACAGCATTTTATACGTCCGCGTGTGAGTCGTGCTCGCGCTGTATTCTTGTCTCCAAGGTGTCTGAGTCTGAAGAGGCGCGAGCTCTACAGCTTCACACTTCGTCGGCGACAAGTGCGAAACAGTTTTTAGAAGGGCTTCCGGTCACACTTTCAAAGTAAAAGATACATGTCTTTGAATGAAAAACCTAAAAACTGATTTGTTCTTTACTTTTGCAGTGCTTTTTTTTTTCAGCATCAAATACCAGATTTAGAAAGTTGTTATTTAATTTTCTTGTGTTATTTTTTCAATTGCATATATTTTAGATTATAACCCTATACTGAATATATTTTTTCTTCTTCATTTTTTCTTATTTATAGGTTTATTTCAGTTTGATCATTGCTTGTGTTTTTTTGCTTTTCTTTTTTCAGTTTTACATTTTCTTTTGTGGTCTTTTAGTTTTTATTGTTCTTTTTCAGGCGACCTAATATTTCTTAGAAATGTAGTTGGGGGGGTGAAAAAAATTGTGATCTCACACACTGCAGATTTGTCGATATCTTTCAGTTCAAATTCATTTATTTAAAAGTTTAATTACAGTTAAAGACAAGCCAGTACTTTTATTTTTCATCAATACAGGTTCAAGTTCCGGTACAATCTTGTCTATTTGATGCTCACTTGACGCTAGTCCATTTCGCCACCGCTATCTCCAGGAGACACACCCCGCCAGCGGTCAGACGGGAGCTGGATATGAGAATGATGGTAGTTGCACGCGCAGACGATGCTGCCTTCAAGTACGGTTTGTGAGATGCTAAAACTAGATCAGTTTAGAACCTTTTTGAACAAGTTTCAAAGCACTACAAGTACCGCTTGTCCATACTTAACATGAGTTTATGATTGATTTCTGGACACAGTCTAAATGTGAATATAATTTAGGGTCCTAATATTTTTCTATTAACGTCCTAAAACAGGTAGTCAGTATCCACATAGAAGAGGCAGAGGGTAGTGAGGCTCATTTCATGGATCTTCTTGGGTAGGGTTGGGATTAGACAAAGATTCTGAATAGGGTTAAACACAATGGTTGTGACTTTTTAAAGGTCCACTTTCCCGATGACTGTGTTATTATTTTTGTTTTTAATGACCATTTCATGTGTTGCCATGAAACCAGGCTCTACTATACAACAGGCCCTTACCATAACTCTAACACAAACCTAGTTTGCTAACTTTAACCCCAAAAGCAAGAATTAACCCTCAAACACACCTTTGAAATGAACATGAAAGAAAGAAACCATGTCAAAAAGTCAAAGTCTTACTAATTATGAACACTCAAGTGGTCCAAACTCTCACAAAACTGGAAAAGTGTGGAAATAGTGTTTCTTATGCTCTACTTATTTATTTATTTTTATTGTTAGTGAATATAATTTTTCTTATTCTCACTACTGAACTGATTTCTGTCTTCCTCAAAACACTTCCTGTATAGTGCTGCCCACCCCAACAATACCATAATCAAATGTGGTCAGGATACTACAGTGTTTGGACCTTAAATTGTCAGCTTAGAGTTGAGAAAACAGCCCACTGAACACACTCAAAACTAAAGAAATCACCTTCAACTTCAGGAAGAAGCAGACAGAACACTTGAACAGGCATGCCAGCTCAGTGTTGGAGGCTGTGGTGCCTGAGAAAGAGGACCTGAGAAAGAGGGGACTTGTGTTCCTGTGGGCTGTGCGGTGGCAATCCGGCAACTCATCTTAGATTGCTATGATGTCATCCATAAGATTTCCAAACAAGACTTCTGTCTACTCTTGAAATCCGAAGAAATAATCCTTGCGTTCTGTTTAATGTTTGATAAGTGCAGACCTGGCTCCCTTCTACATCAGCATTAACTCTGCACAGATGGTAAACATTAGTACTTTTTACCTTTAAAAACCATTTCTTCAGTGCATTTGAAGGCGTGGCTGCTCTGTGTTGTTATATGTGGGATAATAACAATTAGGACTAATTCTAACAGGATGATTCAGCTCCTTTGCCACAAGAACAGACACAAGAAGTCTTTCATAACTGCAATAATCGTGTAGAATAAAACACCTGTTTAGCAGAGAAACATCTACTATATATTCTCTGTTTTATTTATTTTTATGTTTATTTAAACTCATTCATGTACTTCTAATCTGATGGAGATTTTTTTCTGTTGTTTTGTGTTTGATTTTATTGTATTTTAAGTTTTTTATTGGCACAGGTTGTGTTCATCATTATAATATGCTCAGAAAAGTTACTGTCTTGGTGTAATAACATCTTCAGCTATTTCGAACCATCCTCCAAATGAATATGTCTGACACATCTTAACAGAAGTATTAGCTCAGTACACCCCTAGATGTCAGCATGAGCTTTTAACAGCCTGTTTGTGCAGCCCTGGGGGGCTATCTGTGACTATATTTAGCTCCTGTTAATGTATGTGTCCCTTCTAATTTAACCAAACCTGAAACAGCTCAACTGTATGTGATTTTAGGATCTGAATTTTAAGTTAATAAGAAAAAAACATAAGCAAATCTATTTGGTTTGATAGACCAAGATATAAATTTTATTGCACTGTACTGAAGCAAAGCGCTGATTCAAATGGTCACACAGAACCACAAGATGGAGCTACTTTGCTATTAATGCAGCACTCTTAATTACAAGAACCTGGGATTTTCAGAGGCACAGAAAGGGGGCTGTTTATCCAAACAATAATTATACACAGTGCACACCAGTGAAAAGTAAATTATCCATGGAAAATGATCTCTTGTGTTTCAGTAGGTTCGCAGCAGAGTTGGAGGGCTTAAATCCACAGCCTTGGCAGTCCGAGCTGTTCTTCTTCGTAACCTCTTGGTGGCGACGGTGAATGACTCGTTTTTTTAAAGTGGGTTAATGAGTCATAACAATTCAGGTGCACTCAGTCGTGTTCAGCCAGTGGCCCACAAAAGATTGATCTCACTTAGTTAAAATTACTCGAGAGGAAATGTTTGCTGAGCACAGCTGATTACAAGCTTCTCAGACAATTATTCATCTCTGTTTTCTTTGATTTAACAAAATGCACATCACCCCAATTATTTCAGAGAATATGTCTGACTTGTCTGCAGTGCTGAGTTTCCTGTCAGCACTAAGTCACCTAGCAGAATTACATCTGAACATTAAAGTGAGTGCTTTAGTGGAGCAACATGTTAATGTGACACACATTTGGTTTGTTAGTAGGTTAAGAGTTTTTCCCAGCTGTGACTCCAGAGCTCAGGCTGAGCCAGGTTTGCTGTGGTCGCCCCGTAAAGCCCGCTGACGCATTTCGTTTCACTGTTTGACTCGTCGCAGGTGCTCTTGACCCATTTCACTTACAGCCCCAATGCCAGTCATCACTTTTGCGTTTCCATGGCAATATAAGCAGATGCAGTAGAATGCCATGGCAACAACAGATCTCATTGAGCAAAAACTGAAGCTCCCTGTTGTGCATACACCTGTGTGTGCTTATAACAGTAAAGTCTGCCTATTGAGCTTTTCCTTATTTTCTGTCACATATAACCACCGTTACAATGCTGCAATGGTCAAAGTTTGATACAAAGAGGTCATCATATGCACAAGTAATCCCAGACTATTCTCCGGACATTCGCGAGACATCACTCAAATCTTTCTGTCAGTGTTTCTGGTGTGGTTCATTAGCATTACAGAGATTGTTTCATTACTCCTAATCCTTAATTTTTCAGTGTTCGGGATTGCTGTCGTGAAGTCCATCTTTTGCCCCAAACCCCAACTTTTTACTAACCCAAACTGAGTAGGATTTGATGCCTAAACTTAACCAGCAAGTGAACACAAAAGTGAAAATAGAGTAAAAAATCAAAGAACTCAACTAATTTAAAGGGGGAAAAAGCAAGCCTGTTTGACAAGCTGTCAGCCTTCAACCTGCTAAAATTGACTTCTTAGGTTTCTAAATTGGAACTGTTATGTCTTAGTGGCCAATACTGCCATAGCATCAAGGGGCTGACACCAAAGGACACTGTGTGTGCAACAGGAAAATCCAGGTAGCATCTGACAAAATGGAATTTTATAACTCCCTACGATGAGAACATGATGGTAATCCCAGTGAGCTAAATAGTTTGGCTTCAGACTGCCCTAAACACTCATCTTCAGACAGTTTATTCCCTAATCTTGGCCCCTGTATGATGTCATATAGAGGACCCCTAATATGGTCATCTAAAGTGTATCAATGTATATCAGATCTGTGTGACACAGAAGCTTTACATACTCCTGTTCAAGAAGATTATGTTTTTTTAACCATTAATGAGCATATGAGCAAAATTGTAAATTGTTTGATCATAATCCTTCAACGTGGTAATTTTTCATTTTTTTCATTCAAGTGTTGGTTTATTTTTATGACACTGAAACATTTTCTGCTCAATTTCCAGACTGAATTTAAACACAGATAACAGCTGCATTGATGCTTTTAAATCTCTGTATGCCTACTTAAGTCAGCACAGATAATTGATTGGGAGTCAATAGGGATTCAATAAGTAATTAGACCTGTAAGAAGAACTGAATTCAAACATTGTTGGCATAAATAAAACTGTATTAACCTCTGTCCCAGTCATAACTGGCATGTTGTATTTCTCTACTCTGTGAAAGTAGGATGTGGATCGTCTCAGAGAACAGGCCGAGATCAACCACATTAGATGTGTAAGAATATTGTTGCAAAGCAGACGTGACCATGCTTTAAACATCATGCTTTCGTGTTCTTTTTTACACCAAATTCTGATCCTGCCATTCAGTGTTGCACCAGAACTATTCACTATCAGGAGTGGCGTCTGATGTGATCTTCTACTACTGTAACCAATTTTCTCCAAAGTTTAAAGTGTTGTGCGTTCAGAGATGCTCTTCTGCATACCTTATTTGTAACAAGTGCTTATTTCTTTTTGCTATATAACTTTTGCACTGTCCACTTCCTGCTGTTACAAAACAAATTTCCCACGTGTGGGACTAATAAAGGTTATCTTATCTCGTCTTATTTTAGCCCTTTTCCACATACTCGGCTTGGCTTGCCTCAGATTTAGGGCTTTCCGTGGTTTTCCGTGGTTTTCCATGGTTCCAAGTGAAATCCATCCAGAATTTGTGAAG